CAGAAAGCCAAGGGAGCTCTCCTCAGTGTGTTAGATAGTATTTGCGATATGACAATACATATTACCATATATTGATATTACCATATCATATGATATGGTGGCCGTGTCATATACCATAATCTCATATGGTCGCCGTATGATATCGAAATCCAGGATATGGCCGTATATTGCCATATTGATGCTGAGACATGGCTGACTTTCGTGGTCCAATAGGGACAACAGAGGTCAACTATCCATGTCTTCGAGGCACCGCCAAGCGAGATTGGCTCGAAGCTCAGAATCTCATTCAAGTTCTCCTTTTCTTACTTTTGTTTCTCTTCTCCCACCATCATAGTAGTCGCCTAGTCTGTCACAAGATACTCATCAGCATCGTTACAAATGTATCAACAGAATGTCATCGCAACGTTCTGATACGCTTTCGCGGCTGGACAGCGACCCATTAGAGACTCTTGATTCGCCAGTTCTTAACCCGACACTGTCCTCTCCTTCTATAACTACGTCAACTGTTACGAAAAGGCGCTACTCGAAAGTCTGGCACTATACACCTGTTGACCGCAATGAGGTTACTCTCAATGCGCTGGGAAAGTCAATATGGCGCTGCAAGTACTGCGCAAAAGAGTATCTAGAGTCTGGTGGAACCACTGTTATCTCGGCCCACCTCAAGGGCCGGCATAACATCGATATATCCTCCAGTCAGGAAGCCCGAACCACATTGATGCAAGCCACCATCGCCGACGCCTTTGAAAAAGCCCGGCAGACTACCAATTACAAACGCCGCTGTCTCTCTACGGTTGCAACTCAGGATTTAGACCCCGCTGTTGTCGAACAGCTATACGTACGATGGATCACAACCTGTAGTGTCTCGTTCCGCATGGCAACACTGTCAGAATTCAGGGCCTTACTTTGCTACCTGAATCCAGAGATCGACAACTGGCTGCCAAACTCCACTCCGACTATACGTACCTGGGCCTTGCGGACGTTTGAGGCTCAGAAACATCAAGTCAAACGCGATATCCAGTCAGCTCTCTCAAAAGTACACTTTACGGTTGATCTCTGGACCTCCCCCAATGCTCTTGCGATCCTCGGCATAGTTGCACATTATACATCCGAAACCGGCCGATTAAAATACTCCGTTCTGGCCTTAAGAGAACTTGATGGCAAGCACTCGGGCCCGAATATGGCAGATTGTGTTATGGAAGTTATTAGCGACTATGGAATCGCCTCGAAAGTGGGTTATTTCATGATGGACAATGCAGACAACAATAGTACAATGATGAAGGCTATTTCTACGCGTACGTACGCCATATAACCACCTCGCGTGTTGTAAACAGGGCTTCACAGATTGCCTTCCATTCACAGCTCGTAACCACGCTAATTTGCCTGCGAGTAGTATTACTCGACCAGTATCAGATTGTCTATGATGCCGAGCACCACCGCCTTCGCTGCAATGGCCATATCATTAATCTAGCCGCTCAGTCTTTTCTCTTTCATACAAACGATGAATCTCTCGCAGATGAGAATAATACGAGTGCCTTGACAACACCGACGGAACTGGAGATGGAACAATGGCGAGGCAAGGGGCCTCTTGGGAAACTCCACAATATTGTGGTCTATATCCAGCGGAGCACACAACGCCTGGCCAATTTCAGAGAACTCAGTGGCGGCCGCAACCTCGTACGGGACAACTCTACCCGCTGGAACTCTTGGTATGCGATGATCCGTACTGCGACAAAGCTCAAGGCCGCTATCAACCTCTTTTGCCACCAATATCAAGAGAACAACGACGACCTGCTGTCGGAAAAGGACTGGCAAGACTTGCAAAAGCTCCAGGATTTCCTGTTGTTCTTTTATGATGCCACAACAGGTACAGAAGGTCGCAATGCAACTATTGACAGAGTATTGCCGACAATGGACTTCCTCCTTGAGCAGTTCGAGACTGCGAAGGAAACATATGCCAATGACCCGTTTATGAGTCCTTGTTGCAACTCTGGCTGGGCCAAGCTGGATAAGTATTACAGCTTGACGGACAGATCGCCGGTCTATATCGCAGCACTGGTGTTGTCTCCACAGTGGAAATGGGACTATATTGACAACAATTGGCCTTCAGACTGGCGGGAACCTTGCAGGAAACAAATGTTGGATTTCTGGACTAAAGAATATAAATCCACCGCAGTTGCAGTCCCTATGCAGGCGTCAGAAGCAGGCAATGGGGTCAAGAACTCCTTCTACCAGTGGGCACAGCAGAGGAGAGGGACTAGTCTCGATCAGGACGAATACACAAAGTATCTTCTTGCCCCAATCGTACCAGAAGTGACGGATCCGCGATCCTGGTGGCTTGAGCCTACTCAGAGGAAGTCTTACCCAGCTCTATCTATTATGGCTTTAGATGTGTTGTCTATTCCGGCAATGTCGGCGGAGCCAGAACGCCTATTTTCAGGTACGAAGATCACTATCACGGATCGTAGGAACCGCATGGGCATTGAAAGTATTGAAGCGACGGAATGCCTCAAATCATGGCTTGGGAAAGGCAGCAGGGTAGCCTTTGCCGACGACGACCTTGATACAAGTGAAGCTATTCCATAGCTTGTATGGCCTTGATTGGGATGCCGTTGCATGTCCGCGATCCATTTCGTAGCCTTAGTACTATCACGTGAATAATACGGCCGTGCATATTACCATATATTGTGATCATATCATATGAACCTCATATGATACGATGAGGGTTCTGCCCATATCATATATGATATGGTCTTCAAAATTCTAACCATATATGGTAATATCACACTATCTTACACACTGGCTCTCCTGGATATTGAAAAGGA